TAAAGTAGGCAGAAGTTATTGGGAACTATTAGAGGTATAACTCAATGTATGATTATTTGATGAACACCAGATTATGTAAAGCATCCTGCTTATATTTTAAGATTTGACAGGTAAGAACATATACTCAAAATTTACTTTAAAAATATTTAGGAGCCACATCATCCACAAGTGTAACCTAATTAAGGTTTTATAGCCATTTATACATTATTTAACTAGCATATCATCCAATCTGTTTACAAAACAAGATTTATATATGTTCGTTAAAGGTTGATGAGATACATACATGATATCTGCAGTAAACAAACATATTTTGTTCTTCCACATAAAGAGTGCATTATAGTTAACTTAGTAAACACATCCTTACAAAAGATCAGCAGATAATGAAACCAATCCACAATTTTAAAGGGGAGATGCACACTGTATTCTCTAGAATGTAAACAGGATTATAACTGTCAGACCCACAGAAGTATTTACTATAACCATTAGCTTGGTTTTGCTGTTGAGAAACACAATATGCACTACTGAATCATTTCTTTTTAAATCCATACATTCCCTGCAGCAGTTCAAGCTCCATCAGCAGTGCAGGAATGTATGAAAATGACAGGCAAAGGGCATTAGTTCTTTTCCCATACTGTTCTTCTATAAATGGAAGCACAGAGTTCTTCTGCGAAGCACTTTAAGCAGAGAATGTTTGGAGCCAGATCTTCAGCAAAATATAAAATGATCAGAAAATTAAATTCTGTGAACAAGTCAATTACTGTATTTTTCCCAGAACTGGTTTCTTTAAACCAAAGGATGGACAGGAAATCCAAAGCCATTACTTATTAAAGAACTGGAATATATTCACAAAGCATCATCTAGTGAAATACCAGTTAGTCTAGAATGAGACTTACGTGTGTGTGTGTGTATATATATATATGTTCACACTCCACACACAAAACACATACTTTTGATCCCTCTTGTGAGCACCTGTTTCTGACTCTTTTTGTTTTTTACGTCAGAAACAGTTTCATAGTCCCATGTCAATGTATTCACTTAAAATTAAATACTCCATTAGTTTTAACTTAATACATTAGTTTGTATTAAGTAAACTTTTAAATAAATTGTTTAGGAATAGAAAGCCTTTTGAAATATGTAAGCTATGCTATTTTAATAAGTTGACTAGTCAAACAAAAACAAGCACATTAAATTATAATCTAATATAAAGTTGGACAGGTTAACAATTTTGCAATCTAGTTATTTTTCTCTACTGTAAGAATGATTTTCCCCTCATTTTCTTCTGCTCTATAAAAAATAACTTCACATTTGTAAATCATACATATCCTCCCACACAATACTTTTAGACAAATATATTTAAATACACAAAGGTTTTGTTTGTTTTTAAATTTAAGCACATTGTAACATTGTCATGGTTATTAAAGATGTTAAAACTGTATATACCATTTACATGTTTACGGGGAGGGAGAGCAAAGAAAAGACCGTGTGTTCCCCAACCAAAGTCCCCTTTCCAATATCCTTCACAGAAGCTCCTGCTAGCCAAACACTATTGCTCCAGGCAGCAGCATGCTGATGTTGGCACTGCCTAAACCAAACAAACACGATGTTTAACAATCAAATAAAATGTCCCGCAGCCTCCCTAATGAATTTGTCAAGGACCATCAGATCACCCTCCTCCCCTGCCTCATTAACTCAAGTATGATGAGACGGATTATAACGAGAGAATACAGATCAATCCGTCTGAAGACTTCAAGTGGCTTTTAGCCTTGAGAGTTTCTCTCTCAGGCACATACTGTATTCTATTAAAAGGACCGAGTGTATCTCCTGCTCTTCAAGGGGCTGCCACTTCGTTTTATACATCATCAAGGAGCTGCTGATGGACTTCTATACTAACATACATAAAAGCAGAGGTGACAAGGGCTCTTCAATTACAGCCTCCTCGAATACTGTTTCCCCCTTCAATTATTCATTCCCGGGAAGAGCAAATTCCGCCACAGATAAAAGAAAAGGAGTACTTGTGGCACCTTAAAGACTAACAAATAAATGCTCAAATAAATTTGTTAGTCTCTAAGGTGCCACAAGTCCTCCTTTTCTTTTTGCGGGTACAGACTAACAGGGCTGCTGCTCTGAAACCTGCCACAGATAAAGCTGCTCTTAATGCAATGCGGCCGCAAACGCAAAGACACAGGAGAAAGGGATTTCACATGCATTATTTGCTGGAAGTGTTTAAGTTTATTGCTCAAATGATGTTTCTAATTAGTGCTAGAGCAATAAATTAAAGTCGGCTTTTGTTTAACTGATTTATTATTTACTAGAGCTTCGACCCCAGACAGGGAAATTGGTAATGAATTGTTTTTAAATCAAAACACGAGTAACCTTTTATCATCAGTCACCTTAAAAAGTAAGTGCGGGGAGGGAGGGAATCGCTGGCTTCTTTTAACCTTAAAATCTAGGAGTGCTTTTCCCTCCCCCAACCCCGGGGCGCTCTGATCGCATGGTCGCTTCTCCCGCACACTCGACACATGAAACATTAATTTCTGGGCTACACAGTCCCCGCACGAGGTCAGGGCTGGAATTCTGAGGCGCCTACCCAAGCAGCCAAAGCGTATGGAATCGGGGTGCAAAACTATGCGACGGAGTGGGGCGGAAAAGTGACACGGGAACCGGCTACTGGAAAACCCGCTGTGATAACTGAGAAATCGACAGACTGCTCAGGAAAGACATTTGTTTGTTAAATGGATTTCTTAACACTCCTTTCATTTATTAGGAATAGGAGCAGAAGCCCACAGGGGTGCGGCCGAACTGTGTATAGGGTCTTCTAAAATTCACCCCACTACTAAAAAAAAGCTACAGGGTAAACTGAGAAACAAAGCAACGTGCTCTTCCCTCTCACCACCCCACTCCCCGCCCCTGCCCAACAATTACTCACTGCTAGGTAATTAACACGATATGCCTTACGTCAGGATGAGGTAAAGAGAAAATGTATTGGTTTGTAAAGTCCTTTATTATTTTTATTAATAAACTACATTTTCCATCAGGACAACGGACTCCAGATCGTGGATTTGGTTCTTTGGTGTCAAATACCCAAGCTTCAGAGTGGAGAATTACTTTCTTATATGTACAACTACTACCGGGAGTCGTTGAAAACGCCAAAGAAATGTCTTCATCCGAGTTCTATGACTTGTTTTCTATAACCCGCCCAACTCTTCTTTCCCCCCTGCAAGTTACACTGCTAGACGCCTTTATTGGGTTTGTTTCAGCTCCAAAAAAATCTTTAATCCGTGCAAGTGCGAGGAGGATCGGGTGGAGGGGGGGGGAGTGCACATGATTGAAGCACCTGGTAAACTCCCCCATAGCCAAAAGCATCTCTGTGCCTGAATCTCGTTTATCCAGTCGCCATCATGGAAGAACAGAGATTCCGCACCCAAAAACTTCCTGACATACGTGGAATTGGTGATGATGGAGAAGGTGCCTACAACTGCTGCTTTCGGGCAATAAAAAGAAGATGATTTATCCCGGGAGAAGAGGTTGCAACCAGTACCAGAGCAGGGCACATTTTACATATTTTATACAACAGGTTTGTTACCGCTCACAGCCATGTTCTTAATTTAAATACCCACGAAAAACAGAAGGGTGATATTTTATTTTATTAAATCTCAGTCTCTGTATTCTAACAAAGAAACAGATAAACCAAAAGAACCAAAGAACGACAACATTCCACTTTTAAGAAATTTTAAATTGAGAATCCTAAGTGACCAGGTTCAATATATATAATCTATCTAGGCTTCTAGAAATATAGCAAGAATAAGACAACGAATTTTGACGTAACCTTTACAATATTTGAGAAACGGCTCGAGATAAACAGAATCTACTCTTCTCACATAACAAACGTTCAAGTTCAAGGCAAAGACTCGATTTGCGTGCTGATTATTTATAGGTTCAATGTAAAGTGTTGCCTGCTAAAAATATTATAAGCAGCTCAGTAGTGTAAGAGAACTTGACTTGTACAGTACTAAGTAGGATGTAGGAGTTCGTTAAGAAACATACCTAAATATCACCCAAACAACACACAATATTAAACAGAATTATTGTACTTCAAAAATAAGATTAAAGTAATAGAAATATTTTATTTTAGCTACTTCTCCATTGATTAATATTGATATTAGTTGGCGTTGTTTCTGTACTCTAATATACAATAAACTGCATATACATAACTGCGTAACTATAATTTTATGCATATTTGACTTGGACAAAATACAAACTTTGGCAAAAATATAGTTAGCTTCAATTTCAGATAGTTCAATGCTGCTATTTAGAAAGGGGACAGAGCTTTACTGCACAAGATTTATCTAAATTAATCTGACGAAGAGTAGTAAAACAAGGTGTACTATTCTGTTCCAATGACAGTCTCACTTTCACTGCTGCAGACCAGCGTTAGTGGAAGAAGATTTATGTTTGCAGCAAAGTACCACAAGTAGCCCTCGCCCCTTCCACTAGCATTACTGCTACTTCTCCTTACAACAACCGGGTGGAAAAAGCACAGTTAATTTTCCCCCATCAGGCTTCCAAGTAAAAGTGATTCAGCTCATAGGCAGTTCGTTGCGTCTTTTTCTTGCACGACGGTAGGATGCATACACAGACTGCACACCTTTCCGATTCAATGCCACTCTCCCCCCAGTATTTAATTCCCGCCAACTCCAACACCGAGTAATTCTCATAGACCATACTCTTTTTCCTCTATCCTTCTATTGATGGGGAGGCGGCTGTGAGTGTTTGTTTGTGCGCGCCTCTCTCTGCATGTTCCTTAATATCTCTTCTTCCCTCCCACATCCCCATATGCAGTAGCAGCGGCTGCCCGGCATCCAACATGCACATAGCCTGCCTCGGTGATTGGCTGCCCCTCTGACAGCTCAGAAGGCGATTGTAGGATCTGGAACTCCACCCCTTCGGCAGGGCCCTGGGACCATTCATAAACTAAACAACACTCCTGCAAAGCCAGACACACACGCACACACACACATCCCGAGAACGAGAGGCGCAGAAAGTGAGGGTCTCTGCGTGCAATTTCAAGGGTTGGGGGCTGGGGGAGGAGAAGTAGTCCTGGGCACCCCTCCCTGCTCAGACAGTCTATGCAAAGAAATATATATATATATATATATATATAAACTAAAGAACAGGAATGAATGATCACAGACCAATGGCAGCAGTCTACGCCTGAAGACAGAGAAAGCCAGAACGGGGTTCAGTCAACGCCTCCAGCAGGAAGAAGGAAATCAACAACATCCCTTGACAGTCGGCGAGAGAAGCAGCCAAACTCATGCACATCTCTGGTGGTGCCATGGTCTGAGAGAGTTTTCCCTCTTCCGCTCTTGGCATTTCTCGCATTCTTCTTTTATTGCGTGCGGTTTTCAACTTCGCCACTGCTCGGCTGTGCTGTGGAGACCCGCTGCGAGTCCCGGAGAGAAGTTTTTAAATGAACTGTTGAACCATTTGCGTGTGGGAGGGTGGGTGGCTGCGCGCAGAGGCTGCAAACAACCTACCGCACCCCCCCCCCCGCACACCGAAAAGGCGGCACATCAAACTTTGCACTTCAGAGGTTTTCCCTCCGTCACCTGTATAGCCCCATTCCCATCGGCTGACAGTTGCATGGTTCTTGTTTTTTAAAAATCACCATCATCCGCTATTTTCTTTCCTTGTGTTTGGGGCGGAGGGGCGGAGTGCGTGCGTGTGGCGGCGGGCTGCAACTTGGCGGGTGCCCTGTGCAAAGCTGCAGTCACCGCTAAAGCATTGGATCCCTCAACGTACTGCGAGAGCCCGGTCTATAGCCCGGACCTGTGCCCCAACATGATCGCCGCCCAGGCCAAGCTGGTGTACCAGCTCAACAAATACTACACGGAGCGCTGCCAGGCCCGCAAGGCGGCCATCGCCAAGACCATCCGGGAGGTATGCAAGGTGGTGTCGGACGTGCTGAAGGAGGTGGAAGTGCAGGAGCCCCGCTTCATCAGCTCGCTGAGCGAGATCGATGCCCGCTACGAGGGGCTGGAGGTGATCTCGCCCACCGAGTTCGAGGTGGTGCTCTACCTCAACCAGATGGGCGTCTTCAACTTCGTGGACGATGGCTCCCTGCCCGGCTGCGCGGTGCTCAAGCTGAGCGACGGCCGCAAGCGCAGCATGTCGCTCTGGGTGGAGTTCATCACCGCCTCGGGCTACCTGTCGGCCCGCAAGATCCGCTCCCGCTTCCAGACCCTGGTGGCCCAAGCCGTGGACAAGTGCAGCTACCGGGACGTGGTGAAGATGATCGCGGACACCAGCGAGGTGAAGCTCCGCATCCGGGAGCGCTACGTGGTGCAAATCACGCCCGCCTTCAAGTGCACTGGGATCTGGCCACGCAGCGCTGCGCAGTGGCCCATGCCCCACATCCCCTGGCCCGGCCCCAACAGGGTGGCCGAGGTGAAGGCGGAAGGCTTCAACCTGCTCTCCAAGGAGTGCTACTCGCTGACCGGCAAGCAGAGCTCCGCCGAGAGCGACGCCTGGGTGCTGCAGTTCGGCGAGGCCGAGAACCGGTTGCTGATGGGCGGCTGCAGAAACAAGTGCCTCTCGGTGCTGAAGACCCTCCGGGACCGGCACCTGGAGCTGCCCGGCCAGCCGCTTAACAACTACCACATGAAGACGCTGCTGCTGTACGAGTGCGAGAAACACCCCCGGGAGACCGACTGGGACGAGGCGTGCCTGGGGGACCGGCTGAATGGGATCCTGCTGCAGCTCATCTCCTGCCTGCAGTGTCGGCGCTGCCCCCACTACTTCCTGCCCAACCTAGACCTCTTTCAGGGCAAACCGCACTCAGCCCTGGAAAGCGCTGCCAAACAGACCTGGAGGCTAGCCAGGGAGATTCTCACTAATCCTAAAAGCCTGGACAAACTATAGGGTTAACAACACAGTGATAAACCCATTTAAAAACTTTTATTTAAACAAAGCAGCTACAGCAAAAGAGGCGGCGACACAAACACCCAAAACCCCACCTGCAGTTAAGCATTTAAAAACTCTCAGACATTTACAAAACCAAAACGATCACCTCGTTGCACGAGAAGAGACTCCCCTTCCCCTTTTTATCTTCCCATGTGAATTTTTAAAAAGTCACACAACGAAGCGATCGGACTTTCCATCATCCAAACGAAACGCAAGGTACATTTTCAAATAAATGTATAGTAATTCTTTTCTTATTCTTTTTGTTTGCCTGAATGTTGTCACCAAGTGAAAAAAATTATTTAACTATATGTAAAAATTTCTCTTTAAAAAAAGTTTTACTGATGTTAAATGTATTTCAGTGCCAAGGTCAGACTGTGCCCCAAACTTAATTGTTGAAAACAGTAATAAAAATATTACTTTAACTTTACATTGACTTTTTTTGTGAATTGTTCTTAAATTCAGGCAAGTAGAGAGATTTTTCTTGGCTTTCAGAGAAAAAAGGATTAAAACAAAAATAAAAGGCAGATTAATCACAATATTGAACTGGTGCTTTATCTATAAATTCATCAGCATTTTCTAAAGTTTATTCCAATTATTTTCAATTAAAATAGAAATAGACTGTACTTAATGAAAAAATAATTCCCATTCATTCTTTGGTTGCGTTTCTTTCTGTCACTTGAATCTTACTCTCCAAAGTTTTAGGAATACATGCACCATCACATAGCATTTCGGCACAATTTTGACAGAACTAGGGCAGAGTGTTTCTATAATATAATCCTTAAAATATCTTTATTGTTTTTAATTCAGTTGTTGAACTATCACAATTCGTTCCTATTTTGTCCTTTTAAAATAAATAGATATTTGCTTTATTACACAAGGGTTACTCAACTATCAGTTTTACTTTGAAATGAAAAAAGTATAACACTTCTCTGAATAATACACAAGCTTAAATGCAACAATTTTTTTCTAACAAATATTTGTTTTCTCTGGGTTTTAAGTATAGCACAGAACTGCAACACAGCAGCACTGCACACAGGGGCATACATAGGAAAGGTGGAAATATGCTGTATTAAAAGAAACCAACCAATTTTATGTTCAAACATCTCAACCCTTTATCGGTCGTGGTTTTTTGTTTGTTATTTTCCCCCCTCAAATGAATGCTAGCTGATTTGCCCCTAATTTTCGGCTATAGTGTTTTGCTCCAAGTTTTCTAAGGAAGGTTTACATTTCTAAAACCTTACTGTGAGATTTTTTTATTAATTTTGATTATTTGCTTTAACGTCCGGAAATATTCTGAAACTGGTTTGGAGCATTTCAAATTCCTTTTCATGCCCTTTCAGGCCAATGCAAAACCTTGTTTCAAAGAACTACTTCCGCTTCTCTGTGGACAATCCAGAAAGAAATAGCCTTTAAAGTTTGGGTTGGTTTTGTGTTTACATAAGAATTTTAAAACAACTTAAAAAGATAACTATAAAGTAAAACTGAAACCACTTCAAAAACAATTCCATCTAGTTTACGTTGTGATCACAAAGATACACAAAGTGACCCTATAAAATACTTATGTAAAATCATCTTTAATTTCTACCTGCAAATATACACATGCATACTCTCACCACCTCAAAATTATGGAAAAGCAAAATTTCTGGGATTGTAAAGTCTTAAAATGTTGCCTTGGGTTTTGTTTGTTTGTTTGTTTTTTTAACCAACAGAAGCAGACAGCTTTTCTGAACCTGGCTCACCTGACAAAATGGGTTTAACTCAGTGCTTGTAGGACTACTGTGTCCTTGTACAAACAATCCTGGAGTAAGAATATAAACTCTGATCTTATCACTACTGATATTATCTCCACTGCAGGTTTTGCTTCAAAAAACTTGTCACAATGTTTTCTTTCCCAGTAGTTCAGACAAATATACAGGGAAGTTGAATTTATCAAACAGATGAAGACTCATTAATTAAACAGGCATTCTGAGAAAACGCAGAATTTGGATTTTCAAGGGCATATTCTACAAAACTCTGGCTACAGATATCAACCTATGGTAATATGGGGTGGAGGCAGGGAAAGTGTCAATGATTAATGGAAAGTTAAATTGTATCTGTGTTTGTCTTTAAAACAAAAGCAATATAGGATTAGTCTTTGACCACTATACAATGGGAAATCAAGGAGTGTCTTTAAAACACAAAACTGAATTCCACCCCCACCCCCCCATTTCCCCATCTCCCCCAAACCAGGCTAACTCAAAACACTAACAGACTGACTGCCTTTCTTATAGGAATCCAAGAACAATCTCCCTGCTACAGATTTAGAAGTACAATTGGTCTAGAATGCCCATTTACACTTTGTGAGAACCACCACACATGCAGAGAGAAAGCAGATTAAACTAAGGATAGTCCCTGTAAGTGAAACAGGGTGCAGTGGTGAATGTTCCAAACTGTACTAAATGATCCTACATGCTAAACATGGAACAATGAAACATGCAAAACAGTGGAGACACATTATTTTCCTTTTTCACATACAAAAACCGAATCAGTACATTTTCTGAGCTAAGACTCTGAAGATGTTAGATTGACATTGGAAGTACACTAACACATTAATGCTAAATATGTGGTTTTCCATTTTTTATATATATATAGCCAAACAAAAGAGTGTGTTTTAAAAGAAAATTATTCACAAAATTGGCAAAGATTTCGAAGGTTTACAAATCTCTTCCTAATATTATAAACTGTTTCAAAGATATTTTGGCACAACCAAAGGTCTGAAAAATTAATTTACTGTACCCAAATAAATTAATAGTTCCAGTTATCTGCACCCCACCCCACATAAATGTTTTAATACATAGATATGGTAAAATCCATGGACTCTTTCCATGTTTATAATACAATAAGAGCATGTGTGTAGTAAGAAGGCCACACATCTGCTACTATTTTTTAACATTATGGGGATCATTCAAGTGCAATCTTTATAGTGCTAATTTCGCACTGCATGAGAAATTTAAGCCCTCAAACTGAATTTTACTGCAAAGTGAATCTAATTTTAAACAAAAAATTGCTAATCAGGTAATTAACTCAGGTTACTCAAGTTTACTTATATTAACAAGGCTATTCATAAATACATTTTAAAGGGGAAATAACATTTTCTGCTTGATTATGATAAATACAATGCTCTGTAAAATCTGCTATATAATAACGGGAAATAGAAGCACTGCAAAATAATGAGTGCAGCGAGCAGAGTATTATGTTATATTGGCATTACATTAAAAAAAACAGGAAAGTAAAACAAAGGATTCAGCTAGCAGTTTTGTTGAATTTTCTAGTGTTCACAAAGGCCTTGTGGTCCAAGATGTCTTTATTTAGGATGCCTCCCTGGAGCTTTATTTCAACAAGCTAATTAACATCTGAGCTGGATTTTTCCCCCTCCACTTAAATGAACTTTGCTAATGCACATAGTCAGTCACAAACTTAGAAAAACACGAACACTTGTGACCTATAGAGGTAATGGAGGTTGGATGGAGAATTAATGGTCATGTAATTTGTCACCAGCGGGTGAAGGTCAACAATCTCTTACCTTGGGGTCGATTTTCTTAAAACTGGGATCTTCTTCATCTACCTCAAAGCAGAGTTCAGAAGAGGTGATGGAAAGAGTGCCCTTCACTACTATAGAGGGAGCCACAAGCTGTGCTGGTGTACACAGGCTAACTGGACCTGCCAAAGGAGCAAAACAGCAATAATCAAAACATCCAAACAGATTACACAACCTTGCACAGAAACAAGCATAGGTTATTTGTTTTCTAACCTCAAAAAACAAGGTAAAAAGTACCAGAGATCTTAGTTTAAAAAAGCAAACTGTTGTTACTCCAATAAGTACATGTCACAGACTTGCAACCTCTCTGCATTACCAAACACCAAAGCAGCTACAGCTGCAACTGATGCATAAGCCAGATAGGTGGTTTTATTGTTAGATCATCTAGTTTTATTCTGACACATTTTCAGTTTTGAAACACTTATATAGCCATATATCTGCTGTTATAAATAATACGAAGTGAAGACTTGAAATCTTAATTTCAAATGTGTGCATTAAGAACTTAACGGGTTTCAATAAAATTCTAAAAAGATGAACACAGCAGTCTGGGTTCAAAATTGTCTTAACCTTCTAAATGTGTTCCCTCCCATGAATGCTGGAAATCTATTGTTAAAATTAAACAGTCAATACTAGGGATTGTAAAGTACAATGTTTTTAACATGCTTTCAATTCCATTGTTAAATACTGTTCAAGGATTCCAGATAGTGTTAGTGTAGCTTGGGGACTGTGGGAGTAAACAGCTGGAGGGTTGGTTTCCAACTGAATGAATTTTTACTGGAATAATCACATCTCCACAGGGCTTATCACAGAGACAAATCAGACTACTAGTAAAACAATAGGCTCAGCACAGATCTGACAACACACAACCTATTATGTAAGAGAACACATACAAGGGGAAAACAGGTTAGATTTGTTATCCAATTGATTAAAATTAAGTTACTTTGTGGCAGCTTTGCCATAAATCTTTGTAAAAAAAACTGAAAATATGAGAAAGTGACATGTACAATTTTGAATTAATAAAGTGTCTATAAATGAGGTACACACGTTCAGGTAATCAATGGGTGAATAACTGCCAAAAAACTCAGATGAATTGTTATTTCCATCGATTGTTAGGAGGATGATGGTCTTTAATCTCACATCAATCTTAATGTGTGCCAGTAGGACAATAGCAGAGATGCTCTGCTGAGATCAGTGCAGCTTTGCCCTCTATTCCCAATGTACAAATACATTGTGTTTGCAGATGGGCATCAGATAGTTGCAGAACTGCCATGATTTCCCAAAGCTCATCCCCACAAATGGTTGAAATAAGCAGCTATGTGTTCTTTTGCTGTCTCCCTTTGCCCTCTGTACATTAGCATGTAATCCAGAGGAGAAATAACATTTTTTCAATCACTCTCAGACATTCAATTACAGGGTGAGCAGACAGCTGCAGAAGCTGGGGCAACCCAGGTCCCGTAGAAGACCCCTGACAATTTCCACTTCATTTCTAACCCACACCACTTTATTAGTGAGGATTACTTCTTAATCCTATTGCCATTGTCAAGATTAAATAATTAAACTCCCCTTTCACCTCTATTACAGTATGAATGTATTCCTAGAAGCAAGCAATGCATAATAAAAGAGAAGGAAATGGGTGGAAGGCTGTTGAGGAGGAGACCAGCAATAGACAGGAACAGATTCCATTAAAAAAATTGCATTATGCTCCAATTACTTCTATTTTATTTCACTGATTAGTATATGACCTTAACATTAGGCTATATTTTCAATGGTCTAAAAAAGAAAAGTGGCATGTAGTTCAGACAATGGGTAAATGAATTGCCCTGAAATACGATTTCCAATTACTTCACATCTTCCATTTTGATAACTTATTTGCTTCCTAGTAAGTCAGAATTTAACTGGGCAACATTCTTCTGTAAATTTAATGGATGTGGATTATGAGCACACATAGAAATCCACATGTAAAGTGGAATGGTGCAAAGGAGTTCAAGTTTTCATATAAGCCTGTGTTACTCTTTTAAAAATGGAGCTAAATTGGAAGTTGTAGTCCCTGAATTTGGAGCTATTGTTTAGCATTTAAACATTATAGGTAAAAGAAGCAGGTTTAAGCCATTTTGACTGCAAACTCTAACAAAGAGGCGTGCATCCAACACAGTAAAAGTAATCAAGTTAATGGAACTGACCATTTTCAGGGTGAAAAAAAACATCAGCTATGAGGATACTTTTGGGGGAAAGGGACTGAGAAGGGTTAGAAGAGTTGAACTCTTAATGCAGTAAACAGACCCTTCAACAAAAGAGAAGTGACTGATGTATTTTTATGACTCAAAAATAGAGCTCTCTAAAGCCTCCAATTATAAATAACAAAACTGCCCACTAGCCCCAGGGTTTTGAGCACTTAGACTAGTCAAAAGTAGAAAAAGGGAGCTCTTGTTAATGAAAAAGGCTACTTTTCTACACATGCTTTCTTAGGAAAATGCAAAAAAAAATTATTTTTTTTTAAATCTCCCCGGGTGAAAACAATAGGGTTATAAAAGCCGCAGAAGGAAAATTCACTAGTGTGCTAAAGCTGAGTCTCAAACCCTGAGGTGCACAGAAAATTATCTTTCATTAACTCAATTATGGGAAAGAACAATCTATCACTGTCTATCCCAAAACAATACTCACTGCAAAAAAGTATGAAAATAGAGCTAAATGGGTAAGGAAACTGAGGAGCTAGGGAGCAAATAGACAGCTGAAGTTACCAATTAAGTTCTCCAAATCTTTCTCCTCAATGGATGACAAGGTATCATCGTCGCCTTCCAAGAGAATCTCACTCTCCGAGTTCTGATTTCCTAAAACCTGACTCTTGATGGACTGCTTTCCTTTAAGAAGCACGTCTTCGTCTGGAGCTGAAATGAAAGAGAGAAACATTGCTGTCTATCAGCTCTCAGAGGCAACGGTGATTGGAAAATAGCCTTTTGCAATGAAGATCAGAGAGGAGAAAACTCTGGCTGAGAGTAAGTATGCCCGGGAAGCTCTCGTTAAACCTCTAACATTAGGGGGACAAGTGGCTAGCTGAGCTAGTTTTAATCCTATTAAACCTGCCTTGAAATACACGGGGCGATCTCTGCAGTATTTAGCGCTATTTCAGTCCTCCCAAAATTTGGGATGAGAAAACCACCAGACATTTCTCCAGAAGTTAAGAGGCTCTATCTGCTGGAGATGGTTCTAGACTCTGCAGAGTAACTTGTCTTTAAATGCTACGTTTTAAGCGTCGATTCAGGAAAGGCAAACAGGAAAGGGGCACAATTCCTTTGCCAATCACAGGGCCACGTCTAGCCATCAGGTTTTAGAAAAATTCACCATTGGAACCAATGGAGAGTCCCCATTAAAAGCTCAGGGGCTCGATTTGACCCAGAGAGCCGCGGCGACAAGAGCAGCTCTTCGTCCGGCTGCTTCGCGAGCCGTGATCCAGCCTTCTGCGCCCTGCGCGGCTCGGGCAGCTTCTTTAGAATTTACCCAGGCCCCCAGCGCTGCAGGCTGGGAGCGAGAGCAGCCGCCGCCCGACAACTTCTCCGGCCAGTGAACGAGAGCTTTGGATAAACGCAACAGGGAAACTGCTGCGAGCCGACCAGGGTTGGCCTTGCTGTCTCCACGCTGCAAAAAGCAGCAAGTGGAGAAACGAAGCAGAGAGGAGAGGCAGCAGGAGACCTGGAGACAGGCCGGCAGGGGGAAGCTGAAATAGGGACTGGCTTCTATAGGCTCTCAAAGGGTGCGCGCCTGTCTGCTCTCACTACACAACAGCAAATCTTTTGTAGACAGTGACAACAGCAATACACGATTTCATTTTACAGATACAAACTTGCTCAAGACAAAAGCCAATGCACAGTTTACATCGTAGGTTCGCCCTATCTTCCTGTTCAACGTAACCCGATTCAGCGCCTCTTTGATCTTTTATTCTTTACATAGGGGTTATTTATTTATTTGCATTTCTTTACATCTCTCCTTTTCTCTTCCCCCCAAACCAACACACACACACACCACACACTTGCTAGCGCGCCATGCATCTGATCTTCGCGTGTGCACAATGCTAGGGCAGCAAGTCAATAAACTTTAGAAAACTGTCGGTGTTGCCAGAGGCTTTCAATACCCAGTTACATTTGATGGCGTCCCAAGAAAGAATTAATGGAAATAATTTCTCTACACTAGGTATTAGCTTCCAAAACAGCTGCGACTTACTAACGTTTAAAATATTCAAATCCAACCAGTAACAGCAAGAGACACACAGCTATTCCAGAGATTCACTTAGAAGAGGTCACTGAGGTGGGAAGTTTATTTTAGATCTTCTTGCAAACTAATCCTTGTGAATAGTATTCTTATAATTTCATATTTTATTGTGACTAAACTCGAACTTAATATACTACATTTCAAACCGTTTGCCAATTCACTGCAGAACTAGACGCCAGATTCCTATATTTTCCATTAGTAATAGGAGGAGTGGAAATAAGGAGTTGGAAAAGTAAGTTATATGCAAATTTTACTAACTAGATACACACATCCAGCCATACAGACATGGAGATGAGTGAGACGTTTAAAAAAAATCACTTTTAGCATTCTACTGAAGTGTGCACCCACCTGCTTTCAAAAGGGGCTATAAAAATGAGACAAGCAAACTCTGAAAGTCTACAGGATGTTAATAGGTTCCTGCCTGGATTACTAAATATGCTGAACAAAAAACAAAAATGAAAAATCATCCTAATCTTTAACATCAGCAACAGAAAGCATATTTCATGCTATACCTTCTAATTAAATATTTTATGGTATAGTTAAGCAAACATTACATTAATGTGACAATACATGTAATTGTAACCTGCCTTAAACAGTTTTCTTCCCTCTCTCTATTTAGAATACACACAAAGGAAATGCCAATTTTATGGGGAAAATATTTGCCCTATTTTTATCTCTACACTCCCATGATTAAATCTATTTATTTACATTTCAAGCTCACAGCAACAGATAGGAGGCAGTGGTTCATTATACATCAAAGGTATTCTGTGCTGTGGACACAGAGATACTATGCCAGGAAATAGTAGTGCAATCATACAATTGTTTTTGACTATCAAAATTCACATAATTGTATATAATCTTAAAAATAAATGATTAAATGAGAGAATACCTGGCCACACTTCTTTTAAGAAACATATGTCTAACATCATGATCAACTAACTTCAGCACATTGCTCATTGCGTTCTCTGATTACTGCCAGAGAGGATTTGAGGGTCCACTGGCTTATTTTAAAAAAACTTTAATCTGCAAACATTTACAGAAGAACGCAATCCCTAGTGGCAATATACCATGGCTTAAAGTGTTTAAGTAAATATATACACGTACATTGCAAAAAATAAACTATCCAATTAAGTGAAAAGTAAAAACCCCTACTTTATGTTTAGGCCTTCAGTTTAAAAAAATGGAAGTTTAATTTATAAATTAGTTCTCTTTTGCATGACAATTTCTTCCAGACCAAATTGCTTTGCCACATTATGCATAGGATTTCGTTGACTTGGAAAACAGAGTGCACTGCACCCCATGAAACAACATTTTGTATTAAAATATATCAGTTCATATAACTAAAGAAAACTCAGACTCTGGAATTGTTCAACCTGAGTTGAAAACAGTCCTGTCACAGAAAATATGCAGCTGATATTTAGAAAGGTTTTCCTGTAATTAACTCCCCCTGGAGGATTTTAAGTTAGCAGCAGTAAAATTACCAACAGTATTCTAATGCACACCACATGCACTTGCGTTCAATTCTCAATGGCGTAATAGTACTCTGTTGACGATTTTATTTTTTAATTAGAAAAAAATGATCTCAAGTACAAAATAAAAGATAAACATTTTTTAAATGCAGCTAAATTTTATCTGTTATTTTATAAACCGTGCCTGGATTGTACTTTTTAAATCGCCATTCACAAGTAAATGTCAGATATTTTCACTCTCTTTGGCACATTCTGCCTTAATTACACTGAAGGTCTCATTTCAAACTAAAACTGTACCTGTTGTCCCTTTAAGAGCTAATCTGAAATTCAAGATCTGTACGTACAACTTTTAGACACAACTCAGGTAATTTCTGGCCAAAAGTTTACTAAAACTTAAAACTTACTAAAGTTTTCTTCAGTTTTTTTCTCACTATCATTAGGAAAATGAAAGTAAACAAGGGGCTTTCCATAGCAAGGTGACTGGGGAATTATAAATGTAGATTGGATAAATAGAAATTAACTCTTCCTTTCATCATCTCTTTTCCAATCATTGGATTTCATTTTTCCACCTAGGCGAATTGTGTTATAATTATTTAAAATATATCACTATGGATATTCCAAAAGAAAACTATTGAAGCAAATTGCATTAATTGAAGATTTGAGGCTATTGTTTGTTTTATTCCTTGTGGGCATTTTAACTTCTATCACCTCTCCTTACCACTCTCTCATATATATATATATATATATCTCCACATGTATATACTTATATATACGTGAATATATTATATATAAGTTATACATGTGGATCTATACAACTTTTATACATGTATATACATGAATCTATATATATATATACAGATCCACGTGTATATACATATGAATATAAAAAAATGCTTGTTGATGGAAGGCAGAAAATCAGAATATAATAAAGCATCATCTGTTAGCACCCTGCTAACCTGAATACAGGAATATATACACACACATACATACATTCAATGTACACATACGTGTGTGTATTTACATAATTGTGCACAGACAAGATATATTGCACAGATACAATCTATACACACAGCATTCTAGTTCTCTCTCTACAGGTATAAATCTGAGACTTGTGTGTACAAGACAGAGCCTAGTACATATATATCTTGTCTATGCATACATGCGCGCATACACACACATGTCCACATACATATGTGTGTGTACATGCACATTTGTGTATTCAGTTTAGTCAAATGCTAACAAATGACACTTAAAAGTATTATCAAAAAGAAAAGGAGTACTTGTGGCACCTTAGAGACTAACCAATTTATTTGAGCATAAGCTTTCATGAGCTACAGCTCACTTCATCCAGCTCACGAAAGCTTATGCTCAAATAAATTGGTTAGTCTCTAAGTACTCCTTTTCTTCTTTCTGCCACAAGTACTCCTTTTCTTTTTGCGAATACAGACTAACACGGCTGTTACTCTGAAACCTGTCATTAAAAGTATTATGATGTTCTACCTTCAGCAGCTAACATTCTCAACTATGCAAAAAAAAGTGTATGGGGAGGAAGTGATCTCTTAACAGTAAATCTTTTTAGAAGTATGAATAAAAAGCATTCCCCAAAGTAAACATTTAATAATTTCCTATTTAGGTCCCAAATCCTGCTTTGGTGTCTGCTAATGCAAATCCCTGTAACCCTCTTGCAGTTCTGTGGCAGAATTTGAGCCTTAGGCCTCAGTCCTGCAGATCTAAATGCATGCTTACATCTTTTCAGAATGAGGCCACCCCTGCAAGGTAGATGGGTCACAGAGGTTGGGCTGCAGCCCGAGCCTGAAAGTCTACACTGCAATGAAACAGCCCTGCGACCCAAGTAAGCAGGGCCAGCCACAGCTTTTTCTTTGCAGTGTAGACATACCCCAAGAGGCATAGTCTCTATGTCTTATACAGCAAACAAGAGACCACTGGCATCATACTTATATGGCACAGTAATTATTCCATTATTTCAAATCCATATTCTTTCCTTCTCCCTCTCCATACTACAGCCCTGATCCTGCAAGGAGCTCTATGGAAGCAGATTTCTGAAGCAAGTAGGGAGCCTTATTGACTTTAATGAAGCAGAGCTACTTGGAGGATAGGGGTCTAAAATCTTGATTTATCTTGTGTTGCTGGCCAAATTTCAAGTTTTCATAAAACTAGGCTTGGTTTTTTTGGAGGTTGGTGCAACTATTTGTTTATCACTCATTTATATTGATGGTTTAAGGTTAGCAGCTACTTAATTTAAAAATCAGTTTGATAAATCATCAGAAAGCATTATACACCAGATAACTTGATGTCAAGTGGTTGATTTCTGACAAATTGAAAAAAATAAAGAATTTTTAAAAGTTTAGGCAGGTAGTGTCCATTTAAAATAATTTAATTTTTAAAAAATCATTTAAAAATTTCACCCTCTTTCACTACCATCACCACTTAGTTAAAGGGAAATATTGAAAATATAATGCTCTTTTGCACCATTTTATTTTTGTGTGTTTGATTCTTTTTCACTTGAGCTTAGACAATTAAAATTGATTAGTCAGCTTTGTTTTTGTTCATGGTCAGTTTCTAGTCAATTTCACAATTATGGTGGGATACACTGGCACAATCTGCAATGTTTAAGTTGACAGTACTACAACAGTCTATTTTACTGCAAACAGAAAGTTGGTTTTTTTTAAACTGACACACATGAACACATTTCATAAAAGTATTTTCCATCAATTAGATTTTGTCAGACTTCTTTAACAGATGATTTTTGGCTTAAATTAATTTATTTTAAAGTGTTCATCTTTGCCTGATGCTGCCAATTTCCATAAAGAAAGTTCAGTTTCTATGCCGGTTATTTTATTTTAAAACTTAGGGTTCAATTTCTAGAGAAAGAAAAAATTACATCCCCTTCCCTTCCCCATGTGCGGACACACAGTGCCAGACTGACTTTTATAAATAACCATTTTGGAGGTTCTTCCCCCCCCCCTCCTTTGAAAAATTACCTGAAGCCCTTTTTCCCAAGCAAGTTAATGTGAACTTGGGAAGGGCAATTAAATTGTCAGAATTAAAAATTTGTTTTTAACTAGAAGGTAGCCAGAAGTATAGTCATGGGGCTGCTATTGATTGCCTGAACAGAGAACATTAGTCTTCAGGTATTTACTCTGCCACCTCTACACCAGAGGCTCTCCTTCAAATCAAATCAATCCATGGAAAAGATGGGGTCTTGCTACGAAAACATAACTAGGCTGCAACAGGGCTGATTTTTGTTGCTGTTGTTTTTTGTATGTTTACTGTATTATGTCTGATTGCTTTTGGATCTTTTTTTGATATTTCACAGTGTGAGCTTTCTTTGACTGTGAGCTCTCTGGGGCAGGGACTACACCTAGAACTACTGTAATGCAAACAACAGTAGATACAGCCTATCTTAAGAGTGATAAGTTAGCTGAAAATTAAAATGCTTTTAAAAATACGTTCCATTCAACATTTTCTTTTTTCATTATTTATACTTAAACATTTATCTTAACTTTCCTATTCTTTGGCAAAATCCATATATCTGATTTCAGAGTAGGGTCATGCTGTTAAAAAAAAAAAAAAAGGCTAAGGGGGGAGGGTGGGGGTGCATTCATTATGCCAAAAGTTTATTTGCTTTAGAGAAGTGCATATTTAATTGATATAGAATGATTCATGATACATTATTAATGAGAAACTATAGAACATAAGGACAATTCCACTGAGAATTCTGGCATCATCCTAACTCATGAGAGCATAGCCTGAAAGTCTCATCACCAGAATCTCCAAGGGATGGAATTTTCTGCTTTGATATTTTTTATTAATTATTGTTGTTATAATAATGAAAAGGTTTTGATGTCCATATTTATAATGCTGTTTTCTTTCATTACTTCAGAAGTCTGTATTAATACTGATAGATGACTGGTTAGCCTCTTTCTAGCTAAATTATTACTAAGTTGACCCACCTATCTGGCATTTGTGTTTATGTTTAACTATGCAATGAATATTTTAACTTAAGAAACTGAAAAATTAATGTAATAATGAAAACGGCAATTAGTAATTATGGCATTAAATTAAAACTTCACAATTAAAACACCATCAAAAATTAAACAAAACAGAAGTTTGTCAAAGATTTTAAAAAATGTTGAACAGAAGGAATAGCTGATGGGAAATTTAATCAACTTTATTTTCATTAGCTAGCAATAATATATTATCAAAAAGGGCTACTTGGATTTAGTTTACTTTTGTTTGGAAAAGAGTCTCTCTCCTATGTGAATCAGCTAGTACAAACAGACAGTAAAAATTGGAGTTTGGTTATTGATAAATGTTACCCATCTCTCCAGTTGGTGGAATTGTATTAATCTGTGTTTAATTACATAGGAAAAACTGTTTGTCTAAATAAAGATATGCTCTAAAGGATTAGCAATTAAAATATAGATGTGTATGTATATGTACTTTTATATATCTGATAAACAGAATATAAAGATTGGAGAAAGAGATATTCATATTAAACCACAACAATGTAAATATGAACTCAAAACATGTGAGAAAAATCTATTTTATTGACGCTAAACATGGTTTTAAAGGAGGCAGTTCTTTCTAATGCAAGGATCATTAGCTAAAAGGCACCTTATGCCCTTGAAACTCATAGTGTAGAAAAAACCCACAAAATTAAAAACAAGCCTCAAAGCAGAAGTGGCCTAATTAAATCTACATCTCATTTCTCCTTCTCCTATAGTCAAAGATGTAGGGGTCTGGGACCATTATTGCTTTTAGATCACTTTATTGACTATTTTCTGTATGGTCATTTATTTTAAAGGACTGATGTCACATTTGGCATTATATCTGCTGACATATTGTAGGCATTTTCCTCCAGAAATGGCTCTTAAAGGCTGAGTGCAAGAGGTTAAGATGCTAGGCCAAGGCCAACCTTTAAGATGATGATGCTCTTCTGGAGCCATACAATAGTCTTAATGATTTAAAATTTATATTAATTGAGAGAGAGAGAGAGAGAAACAACATATTCATACATTGGAAAACAAAAAGAACACGGCTGCTAAATATTTTAAAAAAATAATTCTGGTTCATGAAAACATATACTTTTGTGGTTTAGAGTATTCAGCTTTAATCAGAACCAATTAATTTTAAATGTGGGGAATGGATTTTTTTTCTACTTAATGTATCTTAATTAGCTCTCAAAGTCATAAAATAATAAATTTAAGTACATCATCAAACTAAATACATTTTTAAACCCAAAGGAACAATCAGTGGCTCTGCTTATTTATTCCCTTTAGTTTATCAGGGCTTTCAAAACAGTTACTAAATTAAAATTTTAGAGATACACACTATAATGGAAATGGAAACATATGTAGAGCTTTCTCCAATAAAAAGATGCAAATATGAACATATGAAAACATTAAAATCCTATCTCCTCTTTCACTCACCAGGTACCTATGTTACCCTCTAGCAATCACTTCTTGGACTCTACCTTGCACTCTGGTATTTGTTAGCATCTCTCTCTGGCTGGATTCTCATGCTAAAATTTAGGAGATAGAAATACACAAGCATCTCTGGAAATCCATATTGCTTTATAACTGCTTTCGTTTTTACATTACAGCTAACTGAAACAATTGGTTGGGATTTTTCATAGGGAAATATTTACTATTTATTAAAATTGTTAAAATATAAATTGGTAATTTATCACAAATAATATATCCAGGGATTAGTGGAAAAATTGTATTCACATTTGCTTCAAAGTAATGAGAACTGTGTGTACAAACACTGTGTGTAAAACATTTGCACATGCAGGTTCTCTTAAGATATACTTAAGAGGTATTAACATTGTTTATGATGAATAGTGGTCAATTTATCTTTTTGTTAAACGTTTGAAATTAAGTGACAAGCCTTCGGAATGTGGAACAATGTCTTGTCGGAATGAAGGTCTAGTCTTCATTGCCATGAACTGTACCTGCTACTACTGGCAAGAAGCAGTTTTTACACTGACCATGTTCTACAGCTGCTTTTAGTGTCGCTTCAGGATGTGTCGATCCAAGGGGGTTACGCACAAATCGTCGCCGGCGCCGCAAGTCATCTTCCCAGTAGTCAAGGCGCCAGAACTCACGAGGACGACTACAATGAAACAGAGGAGTCACATATGTTAGCAATTATCAAACAGCATGGTAGTGCTGAATTTCTGCATAAAGCTCTCCTTGTTTGCTCTGCCCTTTTTTTTTTTCTTTTTTTTTTACCTCCCCCCTTTGTGCAATCTTTTACTTAGGTATGTCCTTGAAAATAACAATATCACCTTCCAGTCTAAGGAACTCCTTTCCCTTTTTTCTTGGAAGGTGAAATGAGCACTAAATACATCATTTTGAAATGAATTGCTGACAGTGTGATCAGTTTCCCCACACTCTAGTGGCATGTGCTCCGATTTCAGCCTCATTTCAGCCTCAGCAGGGCACCTTTCTCAGTGACTGCATTTATAAACCAGAATAGGGAAAAGGCTATTATAAATATGGTATAGCATTACCTATATTAATCAAAGTCTGTCCCCCTTCATTTTTCTTCCTAATTTGTGCCTTTTCACACAAGGTCAGTAAATCATACCATGAATTCTTGGTCCAGAAAGTGTTAACTTTAATGAATACCTCAGTTACATGGTTATGTATGTGATAATAAAATATTACTCTGTTTAGATGTGCAGGAATTTAATTAAAATAATCTCTTAAAATATTCATTACATTTAGCCCCTGAGGCTTAGAACAACACAAGAAAATGCATTTCTTTTCCATTTACTGTTTTTAAATAAACCATTCCAGGAGAGTGAAATAGCAATCTATTTTCAAGCAAATCAGATTGGATTTCTGCTTTATGTAGTTGTATTTTTACATTTAATTAAAAACTACATGTTATGATGTGAAATAATTGCTATATTGAAGGCATACTTTAAAAAATTTCCATCTAGAAGAGGTTATATCAAATTCATTATTTTCCATTGTACACTTCAAATATACATAGATCTTTTTAATATGGTCATATATAAATGCCAGTTACTATCTTGTTAGATGAATGAGAACCATTGTAAAAATATTTTAACCACGAGAATGGGCAAAAGCACCTATTTCAGGTACAGCCAAAAAAAAAAAAAAAAAAGGCTACTGCACAGCACAATCATTAAAGGTCTTCAGTTAGAAAACCTGTATGCTTCAATTACAGAACACTAATTTTATTTATTAACATAACTTCTGATGGAATGATAAATAGAAAAATACAGAGTAAAGTCCTACTTCTGTTTCATAAGCTAATAAAAAACTGTACCTGTCAAGGTGACAAATGGATAGCCTTGACTAATTTACAGATCAAAATGTTAAAAATACAAGACATCTATATGTCCTTAGTTTTGTAAATTAAATCTGAACAAAGACAAGATTAATACCTAAAGGTAAATCCAGCTTTCCAACAAAAATAATCAGTGCCACAATCCATTGTACAATGATACACTTGTACTTAATTTTTAAAACTCTAGATTTTGATGATCCGCTACTAAAGTACATGAAAATGAAGTATATCCCATATCTAATTGCATGGAATTATTATACCTAATTCTATTATTTAAAAAAATAACATTGGTATCTTAGATCTTGCCACTTCTTGAAAAACATACTAATATGTTAGCATTTCCTTTTATTGAAAGTCTTATTTTTGCTATCTATAGCTACATCATAGTACATTTCAATCATGTCAAAACTTGAACTATTTGATTATAAAATCCAATGAGTTTAGAGAAATGAAACAAGAGCCCAAAATTGTTAAAAACATGGGAACCGCTACATTTACTCAAAGCTCGATTAATAACTTAAAATTCTCCATTAGTGATTATAAAAAAAGGCTGAACACAGCTGGCTAGTGCATGCCTTTGATAGTCGTAGAGCATGGATAGGCACTTCATCATTCTGCCTACATTTATCTGTTAAAATTATTATCAAATATCAGCCAGGATGCAGTCGTGAATCACAGACTGCTCCTCGTCTTCAGGGGAATGATACAATGAGGGTCTATTCATCAGTATGGCAATCGGCACAAGTAATTAGTTCCCTAGACTGAGATCTCCTACAAAGCTTATTTCAGTCAGCACCACAAACATATGACAATGAAAAGCTAATGGAAGCTGCTAAAATTTGTTAACCTCTTCTGCCATCAATCCTTCTGATGCTCTGTGCCACCGTATTATGCAAATATGGTAAATTATTAATTTGTCATCCATCTATCTTTCTGTACTTTTGGTGGAATTAAGTGATTCTGTTCTTATTGATAACAATTAAAATATGACATGTTAAGCAACTATACTAAAATTATTAGAAAAATTAGATATAACAGGCTCAGGCACAACAGATCATTCTGTAACATAATTCAATATATCTTCAGCATCTAATCTTATTTTTGATTAAGTGTAAGAAATTTGTAAAGGATATCATGCCCCTTACGCATCTGTCAATTATTCACAAACAACAGCAAGTAAACTATTAGGTTTGTTTATTTTGGGACTAATCCTCAAGGCAAGCAAATGGAAAACTTATACCCTTTCACACAGAAACTAACCTACTGAGCAGTTGCATAGCAATAGACCTTCAGGCTCACAATTAAATATTACCTGTTCTAAAAGAGTAGATCCCCTGGTCATTAATACATACTGATATCAATTTAAGCCACATTTAATAGTGTAACAGTTATGGAATTAATCAAATAATTATTGAAATTTATTAAAAATCCAAACCAAAGCAATAATACATCACCTAGCCTTCATACCCTTGTGTTAAGTTGAGACTGTAGGCAGGAGGAGACAGACAAGAATATCACTTTGCCAGAATCTGAGTGATAGAATTAGACTGCTAAAGGAGTGTAGCTTTATAGAAGTAAACTGCTAACATCTTGGATTGCTAGAGAATTGATGACCTGTATAATTGGATGTCTGACTGGAAAACTTTCTGGCCGTGCTGTAGAGGTTGCTACATGGACTGAAGGTGCTGTATGGACTGGAGTAGTCAATTAGCAAAAATACATGTGCATATGCATGACTGTCTACTTCTCACATATCTGAAAGCTTATGAATTGCCAGTTACATGATTTGCATAGGTTGGCTAGGGACCCTACTAACATGGTCCAGAGTAATTAGCAGTTCCTCAGTAACATTATTGAATGAGCATAGAAAACTACTTCAAATTAAACATTTCCTTCAAAAAATATTTCATTAATTTTTTTTTCAAGAATTACTAAGATTCAAGATGACTGCCTGTCTTCCTCTTCCTTAAGATGTCCTCCCTATTCCTGTGCAACTACTGCTGAATAGAAAATTACCATTATTCCTGGATTACATGAAATGTACAACAACTGACATAAAATACAGCACAAGATCATGAACATACTATTACTAGAAAAATTAAAAAGGAGCATTCACTTCACTGTGGTCTACAGGAAATGTTCTTCAAGCTTAGTACACCACAGATGGTCATCTCAAGAACAAGAATATCAAAAAACCTATTTGCTCTCACTAGTTACAAGAAATAACTACAAATAAAACAAGGTATACTAAGTAGGTGAACGGTTTTGTTTCAGTGCTGCAAAACTGGAGTCCTAGGTCTGGGAGTTACCTTGAAACTTTCACACCTGAAGTAATTAAACATAATGTAAGCGACACAACTGGATAATGCTATGAATGTGTAACGCTATTGCAGAAAAAACACTTCTTGCTTCATTATCCCTGGTATAGTTGAAGCTATTCTTGCACCATTACAAACATAGGGAGGGGTTGGTGACTACAGCTGTGGAGATAGAAAAGGGATTCACGGAAGGGGGAGGCGGGAAATGTAATTCCCCAAATGAAAGGGTAGAAGAGTCTTAGGACCAAATCTAGGCCAGCATTTATTTCAAGCCAGACGTAGCACAGAAGAGGGGAAGGTTACTCACATTGCAGTAACTGAGGTTCTTTGAGATATGTCCCCTTATGCGTGCTCCACTGTAGGGGCGATAGCACCCCCTACGCCTGGGATCAGAGAATTTTGGTAGCAGTGCCTGTTTCCAGTCTCGTGCCATGAGTAGCATCTATATAGTGCTGTGTGGTCCAAATGGTCTCAGTTTCTTCTCTACCACAGTGTCCACTTTTGAATTCCACAGCAGAGGGAAGGAGGGCAGGTAGCGGAGCACCGATAGGGACACACATCTCAAAGAACCTCAGTTACTGCACAGGTGAGTAACCTTCTCTTCTTCTTTGAGTAGCATCCCTATTGGTGCTCCACTGTAGGTGACTGTAGAGCAGTGCCCCCAGATGGAAGGCTGGGACTTCAAGTGACATCTACCAAGGATGATAGGACAGTGATTCCTAGTAGGGAATCTTATGCGCATTGGTAATGGCATAGCATTGGCTAAAAGTGTCTATGGATGCCCTATTGGCCACTTTGCAAAGGTCAGTAATCAGCATGCTGTTTAGAAAGGCAATCGAGGTGGACAGTGAGCGAATGGAATTTGAGTTTGAGTTCGAGTTCCAGGTGGGGGTTGCAATTTGTATCATTGGTAGTAAAGGAGGGTACATGCCAAGATCTATTTGGAAAGACGTTGTTTGGATACAGCTGATCTCTTTGGTCTTTCAGCAATAGAGAGGAATAAGCATGATGAGTGCCTGAAAGATTTAGTTCCGTCAAGATAAAAGGCTAATGTTTGTCTGACATCCAAGGTGTGTAGCGTGGTTTCATGTTGGTTGCCATGTGGCTTCGGGAAGAAGGAAGGAAGGTAGATACGGTTATTTAGATGGAAAGAGGATAGCTGGGCTCAAATCAGGAGCCAGTCAGAAAGCATAAAACTAGGCTGGTATCCCAAGATAGGGTAGAGTTTCATACCTGAGGGTACAGGTTTTGAAGACCCTGAAGGAATCTTTTTGTTAGCGTGGAGGTAAATATGGAATGACCTTCTATCTTGGGGTGGAATGCATATGGCAGCCAGCGATGGCAGCCAGGGTTACGCAAATGGAGCTCATGGACAGTCCTGATTTTTAAATTCTAGAATGCAGTCTAGAATGAATGGCAAAAGAGCATTCATTGCGGGGATATGTTTGGTGTCACACCAAGTCCGGAATCTTT